CCTAATCTGGGTCGCCTCATCCTGAGAAAGCTCGTGTCCGTGTCTTTTCTCAACATTGGCCTCATGGGCGAACCATGGGTACATCACATGCTGTTATGACTTAGAATGGTTACTCAACAAATATTCTGAGAATTGCCTATAACTTGCTTGAGATAGGCAAAAATGATGAAGCAAAAGTTATCTATGTGCCACTTTAATATCTGAATTCTAATAGGAAACATAGAATTTTAGATACGGAGCTCTGTTATTGGTTGCAAAGGCCTTTCCGGAAGGCCTCTGATGGCGAAAAGGATGTCAGGGATGACACGCGCGAGCAGCGACAAGCGGCTGCAGAAGTGGCCCAGCAGTGGGCTCCTGCTGGGTGGTGCCGTTGGTGCTGTTGCCACAAGGTGAGTCAGTGGAAGACACCCCCCCAAAAAATAAGACCTGGTGCCAAAAACACCAGCCTGAGGATGGTGAGTGAGACCTCGCCGAAACTTATATGCTTATAAGTGCTATGTGCTTAGAACTCTAAGCATTGTTAGAGACCCCACACACCCACTTCATGGTCTATTTCTGTTGTTCCCTCTGGTAGGAGGTTTTGAAGTATTTCTAGCAGGATTACCAGATTCTGCAACTGCTTTGTTCCCTATGCCATCCATCTGGTAAACTTGCAAGATTCATTTTTTTCGCCATGTACATTTAAACATCTGGACTAGACTGTGTTGTTTTGCTGTTTCATATAATATCTGTAGATATATGCATAATTTTGTATTTTTTAATATTTTTTGTCATGTTTATGTAGTGTATATTGGAGGGGGTGAGCCTTTGAGAGCTATATGCAATGAAATTTCATTTTAATGTATGGCCATCATGCTATGATGCTTTGCTATGCTATGCTATGCTGTTCTGTTCTATTCTATTCTACTGATTTATGGACAGTGGAAGCTCTGGTTGATCTGAGTTGTGCAAAGCTTCAAAAAGATGTTTTGCTTCAATGATGCTTCATGTGAAACTCTTCATTGAAGGGCTTCAAGATGCAATTTGTTCTCCTGCTCCTAAAGAGCAATGCACATAGTTTTGATTTTTGCCCTTTTGACAGCCTCCAACAGCACTTCCAGTAGTTGGAAGAAGCTTCTCTTCACCGTAGAAATATCTTGTGGATAATATTAGAGAGAGCGTCTCGAAGTACCTTGAGAAGTCTGAATCTCATGGAAATGAAGAGCACTTTTGCCGTATGAAGTATTTTGCCCAACCAAACTGCTCAGAGAAGAAACCCAATTTATCTAAATCTATATATACATAAACCAGGTCTGGAATCTAATCTGGATGAGGCAATGCAAGACCGACACAGACTTCAGTGGATAATTAGAACTGCAGAAAAAACAATTACTGCCAGCTGCCTTCCCTCGAGGACCTGCACACTGCACAAGTCAAAAAGAGGGCAGTGAAAATATTTAAAGACCCATTGCAGATCCTCAAAACGATGCTATAGAGCAGTGTTTTTCAACCTTGGCAACTTGAAGATGTCTGGACTTCAACTCCCAGAATTCCCCAGCCAGCATTCGCTGGCTG